CAGCAGGGCGCCTGGCGGGTAGGCTCGCCCGCCGCGCAGCCCTGTCGCCTACCCACAGATGTGGCCTACCCACAGGCGGCGGCGCGGGCCCCGGTGGCGGCGGAAAGAAGCGCACGGTGGAGGAAACGGAAGAGAGAAAGGAGACGGGCATGATGGGGATGGAGAGGGAGGGGGAGAGGAAGAGCGAGGGAGGGAGGAGGGGGAAGTCGGCAATAAGAAAAGCTGAGCACAAACAAAGAAAGCAAACTGCTCGGCCGACAGGGCGCCGCCGGGATGCACTCCGCCGCACGTGCGGCCATGGCATTAGGCCCACTGCCTTTTATTAACACGATTTTAAGCGTTTTGCCACACGCTCGCTCGTACCCCGCGCGAAAAGGGGGTTGAGCTAGCTGCCCTCAACATATGTTTGACTTAGCATTTCTCGATTTTACTTGTTATTTTCGGTTATTTTACATTTTTAAGCCTTGCCTACCGGTCGGAAATGTTATTTTGTTTTAAAGGTACAGTAGCATGCTGGCCTCACAATATGATTTATATTTCGAATATGCGATGTCAGTGCAGCAATTGGATTGCAAAAGAATGGGTCACGTACGACTATACGACAAGACCGCACAAAATAAAGATTTATTTCATTTAACGCATTGGATCAAGAAAGGAAAAAAACAACAACCTGAAACAGTGGTCAATTTCGCGTTAATGAGATATTATCAATCTGAATTGAGACCGGAAAAGTGCAGTTGAGTCGATGGAAGGATGGAAGCCCTCCAAACAGTCCGAGCCGGAAGCCGAAGCTACCTCAGAGCCGCACACACAACACACTGAGCACTTGGTGACCGCCGCCAGGGTGGTGGGCAGCCACCCTGGGCTCTGGCCCCCACGACCTCCCCCTCCCCCGTACAACCCCTAAAAGCCTCGGCCGGGCCAAGGCAGCCCTCCGCCCGCCCGCTCCGGGCCGGCAAGGGTTGTGTACAAGTGTGTAAGTCGCCCAGTGCGGGATATTAAGGGCATAAATCCTTATCTAAACAGCGCGCGCGGGGAGAGAGAGAGAGGGAGATGCGCGGAGGAAGCTCGTTTTTTTTCTCTCCCCTCCGTCCTGCTCCGGTTGGCTCCAGCAGCCGGAGGCTCCGGGGGCCGCCGCGGGGCAGCGGAACAGAAACTGCTCCTCAAATCACCTTACATTTAATTACAGGACGCGTGTGTGCGCAGGGCCGAGTCGCAGGCCACACCGCCGAGCAGAGCAGCGTCTGCGCACCAAATCTCCCTCTCTCTCCCCACCGTTTTTGTTTTTTTTCGCAGCTCACGCTACAAGGTCCCTTTCCCTCCTTCTCGCGCGTGTTTGCCGGAGGCTTATTTCCAGCATATTATTTTTAACTGTTGACACGGCGAGTCTCACAGCAGCGCAGAGGTGAGGGGAGCAGTGGGGGGACCATATCTGCGCGACTCACACACACCATAGCGGCGCCCCGGGCACACCATTCACTGCGACACGGAGGTGACTACATATCACTTGGCAGGAGATAATCTGAAAACAATGGGGCCGGCGCGTACGGGCGAACGGGGAAACGGGAGAACACGGGGGGCGACGGGTTAGGAGGGGGTGCACACAGCACCGGGCGGGGATGGGAGACTCGCGAACTGCGCCTGCCTGGTCTCTGCCTTCCAAACGCGACGAGAGGCAAAGGCGTTCGCCCGGAAGAGGCAAAGTTGGGATGGCGGGCACTTGATGACGACACGGCAAGTACAACACACAATTATTGTGCATCGAAAGACGCGGGGGTATTGTGTGGAAATAAATAGGCGACGTGTGGGAATAGACGATGATGGATAATATCTGCCCTGGCCAGCAGTGGAGCCGGCCACCCGGGAGGGCCTCGGACCCGCCATGTGAGCCGGCCCGGCTATCCACGCCCCGCCACGCCCCGCTGAGCGAGGGGAAACCAAATGATTAAAGTTGGCCTAACGCTGTGTGTCAGGCGCACGCTCGCTCGCACACGCAGTACCAACCTAACCGAACGTCACGACAGGCCCGCCCCGCCACGCCCCCGCGAGTAGTTTGAGAGTTTGGTGTTGGCGACACTGCCGCGCAAAGCGCTCCCCAAATACTTCGCACAGTCGACGACTGCGCGCTTTTCCCCTCAGTACACCAGATTGCTCCGGGAAGAGGAAAATAAGAAAAAAAAGAGAGAAAAAAAGAGAAGAGACATAGGCGTTTTATGAACTATAACCTTTAGGGAGGGTGGCCAAACAGAGATGGCCAGGGTGTTTAACAACCCTTGGGATGCTCACTTACCTCACTATGCAGCACGATCTGGGCTGGAGGACCTCCTCCTGAACCCAGCGAGGGACAAGTGCCTCCGTCGTAGGTCTCCCTGGCAACGTCGACTCCACGCGGTCGAATAATAAGCCGCTAGTCGGGGTGGGCGGAGGTGTGTGGTGTGCCCGGCCTGGACCTAAAGGCGCCTAAAGGCCGCCTAAAGAGGCTGGGGCGCGAGGCGGACCTGCAACAGGATTAGAGTCACCGATCATTGGTTCCTTACGGCCGAGCCTCGGGCCGAGCCCTCCAATCGCCCCCAGAGGGGCAGTTAGTGTCTCCGCGGCACGGCGCGGCACGGCGCCCTCCCCGAGACGGACAACGGCAGCCCCATCGCATGCTTGGCTCGCGATGCGGACGAGCCCGCGTCGCAAGAAAAAAAAATAAAGAGAGAGAGAAAAAAAATTGATCGCAAGTGGCTCTCTTAGCGCGGGTGGTCACCGATGGCCGGCCGAGGACGCTGATGTGCGACAGCGCGACGGAGCGGCCCACAATAAAAAGGCACATCAGGGAGGAGGGAAAATAAAAGTGGCAGCTGACGGTCAGCCTGGGCCGGGGCCCTGGGCGCACCTACCCCAGGGGCCACATATTCAGCCCCGGCTGGCGCGGCCGGCGCGGCCCTCACAGCTGACCGGCCCGGCGCCCAGACATCATATAGAGCGACCCGATGCGACGCGCGCGAGAGGGGAGACGGCAGATCTCTTTCTTATTTGTCCTCTCGTCCTCGTCCACTTCTCTTTCTTTCGTTTTCTTCCTTTTTTTTTGTTTTATTGAGGCCTGTTTCGCGGACTGGTGGTGGTGCGGGGTGGACCCCAGTCGTGTGTGGCGTGGCGGAGCGCGGCGGGGTGCGGTGCGGCGGGGTGCGGCGGGGTCCCCATTTGTCCCCCCCGTTCGTAACACGGGTGTCCCTGATGCACTGAGGCCCTGCCTCCCTTATCGAAGACACTTGTACTGCCCCTCCACCCTCCGAGACCCACCCCCGCCCCTCCGCGGCCACCCCCAGCCCCAGCCTTTTTATTTGCCGCTGTCACCTCTTGTCGAAACTGAGCTGCCGGACACTCGGCCACTGGACCCGACTCCGGAAGAAAGGAAGGGGAGGGAGCGAAGGACCCCTGCCGAACCAAAAAAATGAGGGAGGCGATAGGGTGGGTGGGAGCGACGTGAGAGGCTCCCCGCGTCGTCAAAGTGGTTTAAACAGCGCGGAAAATGTCCGCGATGACCGTCGTTGGACCGCGGGATGAAGTTCATGCGAACTTCACTAGCCATGTCCACAACCCAAATAGTTCCCAAAAAAAAAAAGCTTGAAAATACCTTTCCCCCGCGTAAGGTGATCATCGTGGCCTCCCTCACATTAGCACGTCTCGGTAACTGAGCTCAAAACAATTTATAGAGTAACCTAAACTAAATTGATCTTCAAAGGAAAAGAAACCCCCCAAAAGTACGACAACGCCATGCGCGCACGCACACTCACTCTTTTTCTAGCTCGGGATTTCGAGAGCAGCCGGCGCCCCGTTCGCCCGAGTCCGACACATGACACCCCTGCGGCGTGCCAGGGCTCGCCCAGGGCGGCCCCGACTCCGACCCCACCAGGGGGGCAAACTTCCTGGACAACCGAGTCAGCCCGAGGGCCTCGAGACGTGGGCCGGCGTCGATTGGACCACTCAAAATGGGCGAAATGGGAGGGGGGGGGGCATCGCGAAGGCTACCGGATGCGCCCGCCGTGAAAATATTGTCGTCATGGGGGTGTTATGAATAGCGCTGGTCAGAGGAGCAGGCGCGTTAACGCGCAATTGAAGAAATGTCGTCAAGAAGGT